GCAAACTCCCTCCGCGGCATAACTCGCCTCGCTCCCCGAAAAAAATTAACGCCGCCGCCCCACAAGTCTTCTAAGGAGGCTACTACACTACTACAAACACACCCACCCCCCCACACACACAGAGAGAGAGAGAGAGAGAGAGAGAGAGAGAGAGAGAGAGAGACGATGACGACGACGACGCACGCACGCACGCACACACACAACCACACCGGCTTTTGGTGAAACTTACTGTGGCAAGTCGGTGTGTTGGTGTTGCTCCAGGTTAAGTCAGCCTGGCAGGTGGTTGTAGCAGCCCCGTTCATGTTGTATCCAACATCGCACGAAAATGTCGCCAGGCCTCCCGGCAAACTGGACCCGCTGACCGCGCCGTTCTCTGGGGCCAGCAGTGCCGGGCATTGGTCGGGTGGATCTGGAGTAAACAGTTTCAAATGGACAATAATTAAAAACACAAAACAGTCATTAGAGTCACCAGCCATTTGACTGAGTTGACAAAGCATTTCATGACGTCCACCTGCTTTGTGCATTGTGATAGAAAGTCTTGTTCTATGGATTTTGTGCAAGTTTATTTCCTCATAGACTTCATCACTTAGGTATGGTGATAGACTACATCTCTTAGGCAATATGATTCGGTGCAAACATGATACAAATATCTTTAAACTTTCTGTGTTATATAGAGACATTGAGCTACAGTAAGCCCTGTATGGTTATGTATCAAATGAAAATACCTTTCTGGCACACACAAGAATGGTCGTCTAAACAGTTGGTGGGTGTCCACTGGAAGGCCTCGGTGGAGTCCATTGTCACACAGTCTAACTCCTCGGTGTTTGCAGTGGAGCCCCATCTGTGACAATTACAATTGTAAATTGTAAAGTATGATCCAATGTCAAAATGCAACCTAAATCTACCCAGATCACTTTATGTCGTTTTCTGTTACAAAGTTTGTTATCTCCAGTGAAGGAAAATACCAGAGTGCAGGTAGGTGTAAAACAGGTTGTTGAACATTTCCATCGACCGGTCCTTCTAACTAGGTCCTGGACATGTCGCTATTTTACTACAAATACACTGATCACAAGGTACATTTCCTACCTGTTAAAAGACCCCAATGCTGGGGTGCCAGTAGTAAGGTAGACCCAGTTACCCTCCGTGGAATAGGGAGCGGCATCGGTTACACCTGCGTGTGGAAGAGACATGAACAATTTAACTTCACATAAGCAGTCTTGTACAAACGTCTTGTAGAACATGCACAAGGGTTTTCAGAAACACCGTAATGAAAATAATTCTCATGGTCTAAATGGGAGAGGGATCCGGACTAGACTTTGTTTACCTATCCAGTGGGTTCCCTGGGTGAGGGACTTGATGTAATAGTGCTCCAGGTCTGACGTAGGCAGGACTGCGTCTGCGCCCTCATTGTGACATTCTCCTAACGCTGTGATGGCGCTATCCACCGTGGTCACAACCTTGTAGCACTTTGTACCAATGACACCAATATAACCAGCAGGACACTCTGAAAAAAATTATAAAATCAAAGTCTTTATACCCAGTGTCAAGCAGAAAGAACAATGCCACCGTGTATTTGTCGACTATAGCTAGTTCTTTCACAGTTCAATTTAATAACGCTGCAGAAGAGTGACGGATGTTACTTAGTGGAGCTTGAAATGTCTTTGAATATCGTTCACCTGGATGTCTAACATTCAGTAAAGTACCGCGTGTATTTGTGAAAACTTTAGAACTAGACTAAAAATATGACAGTCTTGACATATTATATATATCACACTCTGTATTCAGTTCCACTCTATCAAGTATAGACTTAAATTTAGGAACAAGAATTGAGCTTTGCTTATCTAGTCTCTTAGAGAACTGAAGGTGATCCCTGTAGTCATAGGTAATGTCAATTAGCATTATGTACCATATTGATAAAACTGACAAGCTCACCTATCTCAGGAACTAGACTCATGTCAGCATCTGGAAAGGTAGAAAAGGGTGTAAGGCTTACTGTAAGCTACACTTAGTACTTACGTAGATCTCAAACATTCACACACATACAGACACGTCACACGCACACACATATCAATTTGCGGTCTCGGAGTCTAGATATTGGTTGCATAGGCGGATTTACTGTCAAGAAAAAGCCAAGTAAGTAGCCCCTTGCAGTGTAAACATGTAAGAAAGGACCCAGGGATTTCGGCTCACCAGTTTGGCAGACATATCCGTATTGTTGGGAGCAGGAGCTGGGTTTCCACATGTAACCGTCGTCTTTAGACATGACCACACAGTCTACCGTGGCTGTATTGGGATGATCGGCATCGGGAAGAAACTTGCTGAAGGCTCCAATCGGAGTGCCGTCCGCGTACTTCCACGTGCCTTCGTGGAGAACGTCCGTTATGCCGATTAAAACGGTCTCTGAGACCAGGCTGACCAGGTAAGCGTGCTCGTCTGCGCTGCGGGGAAAGGCGAGGGTCGCCCCGTCAGCCGCACAGGCGCCGTGCGCATCCATGGCATACGTCAGGGTGTCGGTCCATCGGTAGCACAGACCCGCATTGTAGCTATATCCGTCCGGACATACTGTGAACGACAATAGAACGGGATGGGCATACGTAAACAGTAATATGACCATGAGGTTATGCCTTGTTTTTATACCTCTGCTTTTAAGTTATACTGTTTTAGTTCCGCTTGTCTTGCATTGGTCTTTGCGTAAAAAAATCTACATTTCAAAATCTGCTTGTGTGAAAAAAGACCTCCGTACACATCATCCACTCTGCGGGCTACTTTGCCTTCAACAATATGGCATACGACTGCTCTTACACATTCAAAAGTTTACAGTGAGTTCATAATGCAGTGTTAAGTATTGACATTTGGCATTCAAGTGATAGCCAATGTTTGTGAACTTGAGAAACTGAGAAACTCACCGGTCGGAGGAATTTGAGCTGAAAAACACCAAAAAGAAAAGGATATGAGTTACACCTAAAACGTAGGTCACACACGAACACACACATCAAATGATCGTAGATTTCCGCCCCTACACACACACACATGCACAACTTTCCAAACAACTTCCAAACTTTCAACCACGCCGTCCACAAAATTAAAAGAATACTTTGGAGAACCTTACAGTCACAGGTTGGCGTGTTGGTGTTGCTCCAGGTTAAGTCAGCCTGGCAGGTGGTTGTAGCAGCACCGTTCATGTTGTATCCAACATCGCACGAAAATGTCGCCAGGCCTCCCGGCAAACTGGACCCGCTGACCGCGCCGTTCTCTGGGGCTACCAGGGGCGGACATTGGTCGGGCGGATCTGGAGTAAACGGATCCAAGTGGACACACAAATTAAACACAACACTCATTTAATTCTTAGCTTTGACAAAGCATTCTCACAAGCGCACCTGTCGTTAGGGTCGTCTTCTCGTTAGGGTTGTTGGCAAACACAATACAAACGTCTTTATAATTGCTGTGTCATAGAGCTACTGTTAGCCCTGTATGATTTGATGTAGCAATAAAATACCTTTCTGGCACACACAAAAATGGTCCTCTAAACAGTCGGTTGGCGCCCATTGGAAGGCCTCAGAAGAGTCCATTGTTACACAGTTGAGATTAGCGTCGTTTGCAATGGAGCCCCACCTGTGTGAATTGCAATTGTACAGAAGTGTTTTACGGTAACGTCCAAAGATACCGTCATAAAGTGCGTAATAGTAATATATTATGATATCCAATGTCAAAAAGCAATAAGTTTATCCAGACCCCTATGTGCCTTACTCTGTTACAAACTTTATGGAAAATGGTACCCGCATGTGTAAAATGTTAGTAGTGAATATTTTCATCGCACAAAAATGACTTCGACACCAACCTGTCCTTCTGTGCTACGAGAACACTTGTTAAGTAAAAATGAGCACCATACGATTTTGTGTTTAATATTGTGTGTTAATGACAAGGTAGATTTCATACCTGTTAAAAGACCCCAGTGCTGGAGTACCGGTAGTGATATAGACCCAGTTACCCTCCGTGGAATAGGGAGCGGCATCGGTTACACCTGCGTATGGAAAATGAATGAACAGTTCAACTTCAAGCAAGGAAATAAACTATCAGTTATTGTAAAACATGACCAGTCTTCACGTCCATAAAAACATTGACTAAATCATGAGGAATATGACGTATCAATTAGGAAAGTTTTGTCAGCTTTCTGACAAAACAGACAGACACAGAAGGCATCTAAAACTATCTAAAAGACAACAGATTTAGACTTGACCTATCCAGTGGGTTCCCTGGGTGAGGGACTTGACGTAATAGTGCTCCAGGTCTGACGTAGGCAGGACTGCGTCTGCGCCCTCGGCATGGCATTCTGCTAACGCTGTGATGGCGCTATCCACCGTGGTCACAACCCTGTAGCACTTTGTGCCATCAATTCCAATGTAACCAGCTGGACACACTGTGGAATGGTCATATTTAAGTCGTTAACTTTACACAGTGTTAGATGTAGGCAGAAATAATACTATGTGCATTCATGTTGTTCACTGAGCACATCATTCAATCCATCCATCCATCCATTCATCAATCAATCAATCAAGCGAACTTCAGCAGGCGTCAAGTGTCAAACCGATAAAACTGACAAACTCACCTATTTGAGGAACCTGTGTCATGTCAGCGTCTGGAAAAGATGAAATGACATAAGACTTATAAGTTTCATTTAGTTCTTAGATCTCCCTGTCTCTCTCATTCTCTCTCTCTCTCTCACACACACACAAGCACACACAAACACACGCACACACAGAGTACACACACACACACACACACACACACACACACCACACACACACACACACACACACACACACACACACACACACACACACACACACACACACACACACACACACACACACACACACACACACACACCACCACACACACACACACACACACACACACACACACAGGGGTTCCTGGGATTTCTCACCCTTTTGGCAGACATATCCGTACTGTTGGGAGCAGGAGCTGGGTTTCCACATGTAACCGTCGTCTTTAGACATGACTACACAGTCTGTCGGGTCGGTGTTGGGATGATCGGCCTCGGGAAGAAACTTGTTGAATGCTCCTATCGGAGTGCCGTCCGCGTACTTCCACGTGCCTTCATTGAGAACGTCCGTTATGCCGATTAAAACGGTCTCTGAGACCAGGCTGACCAGGTAAGCGTGCTCGTCTGCACTCCGGGGAAAGGCGAGGGTCGCCCCGTCAGCCGCACAGTCGGCATGGGCGTCTGCAGTATCAGCCAGCGTGTCGGTCCATCGGTAGCACAGACCGGCATTGTAGCTATATCCGTCCGGACATACTGGGAACGACAGTAGAACATGTAAAACTTTAGTATGATCAGGCAGAAATAGGGGTTGTAAATTGATACACGATACTAACAAAACAGTACATACAATCAATTCTAATTCAATTTTTTATTTCAGGCACAGGGCCCATATCAATACATAAATTAAAAATCGGTCGAACTTAAGTTTCAAACTTGTGTTATAACTTATATTCGTGCATAATTTCATCAGGTTGGTAAGTGATTGTTGGAACAGCAACGTTCACAATAACTAGTTTAAGAAGAGCCGACGTATTGATATGACCGTCTTAGCCTCGGTGCCATCCTCCGTAGTTTCAGACCGCTCACTGACTCCACTGGCACCACGCCCAGCGACATCATGAAGCGGGCGGAATCTACGGAGGATAGCACCCAGTTTATGACCGTCTGTCATCTTCATTAGGGCAATTCTGACTGGTCCACTCATGCAGGCTGGATGTTACTGCTAACAATGTAATTGTGACATTGTTGTGTTATGTTTTGTTTCCACCTGAAGTATCCAGGTCACCACTGTAATCATGGACAGTGTCAGCTAATGGCCCTGATTGACGTCACATGTAGGTGACTTAGAGCTCGTTGACATTTACACTTAATTACAGGTCAGTAGTTTACAGTTACTAGTACTATATGTGACTCTCACATAACTGTGATGTAGTAATCTTATTTCAGTCTATAGCTCTATAGAACCAATACCTTTTGAAGAGTCTTTGCGCGCATATATTGTGAACATCAAGCAAAATGAAATATCCAACTGTGATTATACGTCTGCTAACTAATCGCACAGTAATTGAAATTACTGGTTCAGGGGAGCGCCATAAGTTGACCCAAATTGTTCGTGTCAAGGACATTTATATCAACATTTCCTTTCTTAGCAACGCTGATTATTTTGACAAATACACAACAAGAAGATTCCCCGATAGCTTAAGCAGTATATTGTTTTCTTTCTGTCCCTCTCGGCGTAAGAAAGCTTCAGAAAATGACGGTTCAAAATCTGCTCATGTATGAATCTAAAAACACTTGCTCTCCCACATCATCCGCTCTACTAGGTACTTTGATTCAAGAGAATTATGTAACGACTGGGCTTTACAGAAGGATGGTTACAGTAATTTCATCATGAATGCAGGGTGAATTATTGAATTTTATCATTATGTGAGTATGGGACACGGTAATGTCTGATCCATGCCAGGACCACAGAAACAGGACCACATGACGTGGCAGGTTTACTGAATGCAGTTGATATCGATGCAAACTTTATAACATAAAGGCCAGTTAGCCACGAGTACAACTGTCTGTCCATACGAATGCAAATTTACATACAAACAAACAAACAAACAAACAAACAAACACACACACACACACACACACACTCACTCACTCACACACCACATACACATACACAAGCAAACACACACGCACACACACACACACACACACAAACAAACACACACACAGGCACTGACACACATACATACAAACAAACAATGGAACATGCAGTCACACACACACACACACACACACACACACACACACACAAACACACACAAAAATCTGGTTAACGATTTTGCCATGCTTTCCTTGGCAAGTCTTGGCAAAATTCCTAAGTTGAGCCATATATGGTGTCGTTTATGACATCGCGCTTTGTTAATCTGAAATTACAAGTAAAATGACTGGAACTATGTTGAACATTCTTGTATTTATAATAATAGCAACAACCACGGGTTCAAAGTGGCAGACATGTTGTTGCATATTTATAGCATTCTAGAAATCAACCTCGATATTTGGCACTGCTGTTTTAATACCACCTATCAAGTAGCAGGCATATATTCCATTGCCTGTCCCTGGTTATCGTCCAAGGTAAGTACATGTACAAAATGTACGTACATATGGGCCACTTGCCGCTTGTTTGAAATTGAGCTCTGTATCATTTATCTTTTATTGAGACAACTTAAGTTCGCTGACTAAATGGTCACAGAAGTAAGGAAAGTTACGTACTTTGTCCCTTGGTTGCAGATGGTGCTGATGCCAGGACGGCAAGCAGAAGAAGGACGTTCTCCACAGCCATCTAGTCCCTGCACATGTCACCTAATACTAAGAAACCACACGGCAAAAAATCCTTGTGACGTCTAACGTATGGCGGATGTTCAACAGACCTTGGGTGCATTAAAACAGGTTTAACAACTACTTTGGGCAAAACCAATTAACTTTTGGTTGCGTTTCAACTGAGCAAAGATTCCATATAGTGCTTTTCCGAAGGCGAAGTCAGGCTCAAGAGATACATTCAATCATACAATGTCTTGAGTAAAATGTATCGTTTTAGGAATCGTAAAATCTACTGCTTTGGGGAGACAACGCTTACGTTGACAGGCATAACATTTAACTTATGCTTGGCGGTGCACAATGTTAGAATGTTTGTGACTGCATGCAAATATAATGTTTGCAATAGAAATATGCAGGAAGGAGCTTACAACGTCTAGTAGGACAGACATATGTACAATGTACATACGTCTGTGCAACGAATCATTGATGTAGCTTGACTACAACCCGAAATAAATTTGTTCTGGCCTCTTAATGTGTCATTTGAAGTGAGAAAATCATTGGTCTGGATAATCGGAGAGTTTGGGTTTGGCGAAATCGGTAGATATATAGAGCAATCTTCCATTTGTCAAACGTTGTCACATTACAATGGAGAAATAGTTAATTATGAACTATCTTAACACAGTGCATAAAACACATTTTACATCAGAAGTGGGGAAACTACGACCAACTATGGCCACGGGCCAGGTCGCCGACCCAAGGTCTCTCCGTAGATTTACTATTGTATACGTCAGAAAAAACTATGGGTAATTACCTAACCTTTCGCATGTAGCTAGCCTGCAGGGATATATGTATGTCGCGTACGGAGACAAGACTGCTACGAAAGACGGCGACCATGGAAAGGCAGTCACGCAGAACACTAGTATACATAGAGCAAGTCAAATATGGAAACACTGGAAATAAAAAAAATGTCATTTTGCTATCGATCTTTGAATTAATGAGGTTTTAAGAATAATCTACTCACTAGCTTACTCTTCCAGAGAGAAAGAAATCCTGCTTCTATATTCTTGACACATACTTCCTCGGTCAAAGTCTTTCCTCTGAAATCCTTCCAGTTTTATTGTCATTGATTGTCAATTTAAGGAAACACGGGGCAAATCTCACAGTTAAGAGGCATATGGTATGGTGTTGAAATCGCCCCATGGATCAAAAGTGCCCCGTTGCGGCAGAAAAATTAATGCAGTACTTAATAGGAAGCGCTAACTCGTGGTGCAGTACTTCATTGAACTCTAGAGGCCGCTTTTGATCCATGCACCTGTACGCCATCTGATATTATTGCTATATTGTGGAATAATAACTTTAACTGCTCTCCTGTGCTCAAGGGAGACTTTCTTCTGCTTAAACACCATGTTCTATCTCCGCCATGTTTAACCTTGGTTCTAACTTTTCTCCAATAAGATTGTTGGGAGGCCAGTTTTCTTGGCTGCAAGATTCTGCCACAAAACCGTCAGGCACCAAGTTGGAGCAAGGAGCTTTAAATTGGTTAGAGCGGCGATTTGTAACAGAAACAGGTAGCTTTGAAAAACACATCAGCTTAGGGATTGTGGTCTTTGCTGGGATTTTGCAACTGTCCACTTATCTTTGACAGAACGACGAACATTAGGGCCTGCTACGAATTCAAGTCAGTCTGTATTACCAGCATTTTCAATACATTTCAACTGAAGGTTCACATGCATTTCAGAGTACCATTCCAGAACTATTGTCCTTTTTTTATGGTTTAAGCCTTTTGTACATGTATTTATGTGAAATGCCAGTGCAAAATATATTTGATACACATCATGAAATAGAGAACACCGTGCATAGAACTCAAAGGTTATGTGTAACATACCCAAAGATTTTGAGAAATAGGTTCAAATTTAACAGTCTGTCCATGTTATCTTCTTGACATTACAGTTTATTTCATACCTCTACCTGGTATCATCAACTACATGTAACACAATGAAACACAAGTGACAAATTCCCGGCCGTTGGTTTCAACTTTTATTCCAACCAATGAAATCAATCACCACAGAATTGATGTCCCTCTCCCAGACTGAGGCCCCCTTATCTTGACTACTCTACATTCCATTCCAATTGTAGCGAGGAGTAACTGTGGATCAACATTATAAACATGCCTCAAACTTTAGAAATAGAGGTAATAGGTTGTACAGGTGTATTCATGTTGAGTATGTAAATCCTTACATGGTGCTGCAGCATGTGTAGTACAACCCCTGACCACAGCTACATCCAGAGAAATAACCTGAGTATCACAATAGTTCTGGTCCCCATAGCTCTGCTGTGGATATACTTGCAGTCCCTGTTACTCAGCTGTTCAGACTTATCATGATATACAAATGTGAAGAGTGGAGTGTTGCACTTGTTAAAGGAGAGATAGTGCAAACTTTTCCCAGCACAGTACAGACAAAGTTGGATCATTTTTTTAAAAGATTAAAAAAAGCTTTCATGGAGCCTGTAGAAAGAGAACTCCATAATTTCCATGCACAAAGGACGTAGGAAATGTCCTTTCTGTTTAAGAAGTGCCTTTTGTATAGCAAAATATTCCACCATTTAAGTGCTGGGAGAAAGCTGCTACCTCCTTACTAGTAAAAATACCTGAGTCTAATCCTTGACCTATGGAGTATTTGGTATTGAACATCTGAAGTATCTGACATTGATGTGGAAGAAACATGAATCTGATTGCCTGTCTGTGTATTACTAGAGACAGAGTGAGGTCTAGGCACACTTGTGGACCTCCATCCCACATGTGACAGAGTATGATTGAGTCTTGGTACAGAAAAATAGTTGTGCCAGTTACTGCCTTTGGTACAAATGTCTTGGCTGCTTTGGTCCAGGTACATGACCTTTAAATGATATGGCAACATTGCATGTGTGCATTAAACTCTCCCTAGTAATACACAGAAAAAGTACAGCCATTATGACGTGTTTGCTGCAAGTAAATACTGTGATCCCAAAGTTTGGTTGTGACTTTAGACCTCCACACCATAGAATAAATATACTGAAATATGTACACAATGACCATACGCCTCATGCACTGCACAATAATTTACTACGTTTCCAAGTCAAAAACTACCCCGAAACAACCTACAGACCCTAAAGGTACGTATTACATATAGATATATTTGATGTGGATTCAATTAGTACAAATATGTCATACACCATTTATATCAATGTTGGAAATCTTAGGATATATAATAATACATCTGATGGGGGAAACCAATGGTAAAATTACTACTACATCGTACTTTCAACATCCTGTTTATGAAAACCAGCTGGCATGGGCATAAAAATGTCCCCATCTAGTTTTAGGCCTTCCAGATTTCCTGAACCACTTGAAATTTCAATACTGCACTTTTGGTTACCTGGTAAAAATACACTTTTACCAGTGTGTCAAATAGGGAAGGCAATGACAGTAGAATGTCTGGTTTTCATAGGACAAGAGTTGAGAGTATTAGGGTTCTACATGAGGGGAAATAAATAGTTTACAGTACAAGAGAATCACGTGAGGTAGTTAAGATTCCTGAGTTTCTGCCTGTAGGAAAGCCAAGTGCCGACTTATTTCTGCTGGGCCAAAGATTTCAAGGAACTTATTCCACAACAAATAAGATTGTTTTTTTTTTTAGGTAAAAGAGGAGACCAAATGATTTATAGGTTACAGCAGCTAAACTGGCGTCACCAATAATGTGTAGTTACTCTGTTTTAGTGGACAACACCAGCAGCAGACTTGCCAGGCACTTACTGTTGTAGTCTTTATGTTTTCTCCAGGGGCACGTCCCCACCTTTCCTACAGACTTCTCGTACTATTCTGGCAGGAATCCCATGTAAGAACTCCAGGAACGATTCATGGCCGTGCACTCTGTTCAGGCCGTGCCTGTCTGGCAGCACAAAGCCATGGGATATATTACACAATAGGTCCTCTCCAAGGCACAGACAGGCTTCATACTGCCACACAGACACGCCAAGAGTAGCACAAGCAACACTAACCATTACCAACAACAGAAACTGGGGAGAGGGTGGGGGGGGAGTGTCATTCCAAGTGACAAAAATACCGTACTCTTGAGAAAATATGTGGCATCTCTGAAGGAATTTAACAGTTTGTGCTGCATTTCACCTTGAAGATGTGGAATAAGTACCTGAAACCAAGTCCCCATCACAGAGTTCCCTCAACTCCAACCTACCTCCCTTTTGTCAAGTGGTACACCCCGATTCTGATAACCGATACAATACCTACTAATAAGGACTGTACCACACGACAAGTACAGGAGGGAAAGTCTACTACAACAAAGGCTGTTCCTACAAACATCAATGTTTCCTTTCTACACCGCAATTTTATCTGATCCCCTTTTAACCGTAATAAACAGCCACACGTTCTGTAAATACAGAAAATAAGTTTGATTCATGACATTTTGCAGTGGGGTGTTCAGGGCCAATTGCAATGTTCAAAGGGAGCAGAGAGTAACTTTCGTAGTCACAGGGTGTAAGAAAGTACACCACCAGATTATGGTGTGCCTTCCCAACTATAGGGAATGTAATCACTGAGAGGAAGCATTAATTATACATCCAATCAACTTGACTAATAATTAATGATATCCCTCTGGGAAGACCCCTGTGAGCTACACATATCATAAGTAGAGTTTTCCAAGTCCCTGAGTTTTTTCTTGAGATCAGAGGCATGTAGAGCTATATATTTTACCCCAGCTGCATAGAGTGGCATCTAGTGCTTTATGTTAAACTGTAGTGTCAACCTGAGTTGTGTTCACAATTCATCATAAGTTCACAATGGCTACTGAACAGCAGTAATGTTGCCAATGACTCATAAAGTATCAAGTCACAAAAATGAGTTCTCACTGCATGATAAACAGTACTGGGAAGTTTTTTTTTCATAAGCTGTTTGTTGCCCCTAGTGATTGTGCTCACGACTCAGGCTGAGTAAATTGCACACCTTTGCAAAGATAGACTTTGTGCCACACCATAAGATTTGCATACAAAGTTTGAGCCTGCGAGATACAGAGAGGTAATGGTCTGATACAACATCTGACAGGATTATTGTTGTTGTTCATATTTGCCACCTACTACATGCCATCTGTCAACATTCAATTCTTAACACCTTTACATAAACAGACACTTGAACCTCGTGATTGTGCTAAGATGTAAGCCTAAATTGCTGACTGATACAATTTTCTACTACATAAAATGCTTCAAAAAAGGCTTCTTCACTTTGAAAGCACAATCGCAAGGTCCCAATGCCTGGGTACAATAGTTTGACTTCACATTAGCCACTGCATAGGAAAGACACCCAGGTGCCGACCACTGCAAATTAGTAAGACTTTGGTTTTCACAGAAAGCTTTATGATAATCACTCCACTTCCATTTTCCCTACATGAACCATCACTGATCATTACAACATTTCGACTCCGCAGGTCCAGAGACAATTGATTGAAGGACGAGTCTCTTGTCACTTGTTTTGCATTTGCACACTATCACCACTCACTACTGAATACTTCCATCAGTAATTTGGGCCTTTCCAGAGACCGTGGCTTACAAATGCGACTTGATTTTCCAATCAAACTTCACAAAAGCTAAAACAACGAGGACTTTCCCTCTGCCGTTCCTGAACGAAACATCTTCGCTTTCCTTTCAAGAAGAAACCTTACTAAAGCTTTGGTATAAACAGCAGCACGAATATCACAACGGTGGCACCTGCGGTGACTTCACCCAACCAACTAACCTTCTTATCAGATATCACCCACAATTCTACCTCCCCAAATAAATTGAAGAAAAATAACAGCACTAGGAATAAGTACAGGGAAAAAAAAGACGTACTACCAAAAGACACTAGCTTCGAAACATGAGTTTTCCTGAGAATTATTAAATGAATCAAACACAAGCTAATCACCATGAGCTCTACAGGTTATTACACAAACCGACCTTCATTACCACAAAGATTCCACTACAAATTAAAGACACCTGAGGAGGAAATGAAACACCCGAAACCCTGAAAGTTCAGTGGATCATCACGAGCCTAACCACTGGTCCTAAACCCTGATTACCGAGATCGTTAGAAATGACAAAGCTGTTATCATGGTGCCTATAACGCAAAAATTCTGACTAATAATGCCTCTGGTATGATACAGTACATAGTTCCAAAGTGCTATAGAATAGACTCACTATTTACATAGTATTTCCAGCACTTGCATTTTACCTGAGAAACATTTCACTACTTTTTTTAACACAGTATCACCCATAGTAAACTCTCTGAATATATCTTCATGATCAAATCTCTTGACAATGATGATTACACTCTTACACCACAAGCTTAGCGGGCAAGATGGACTTAACACAGGTCTTCTATTCTCCTTTAAGCTGGAGACACAGAGTATAGACCAGTGCTGGGTAGGGACTTTGGTACATTTCATATTCACAATGCCTGCCCAACACTAGCCCATACAATTCTCTCTTCAGTAATGGCATTAACTCAGGTTGGCTAAAGCAAAGGCATCTTTCAAAACAGATTTTTCCTTCCTTCCCCGTGCCAAGAGAACAATGCCGTACGAGGCAAAAAAATAATTCAGACTGCTCTATACATTCTAGATGAACAGATCTTGCACAAAAATCCTGGCAGGGTCCCAACAGCCTCGGGCTCTGCTTGACAGACCGCTCAGCCACACCTTGAGTTGATATTTGGTACAAGCAACTTAACCTGGTCGATATTGATATCTCCCTGGTTACATGATTGTAAATAAAAGAACAGCCAAGGCTCGCCTTGCCACAACGGTTCTTCTGACTTCCATAGCAGCCTCAGAAAAATACATTACACCCGCTATAAAAATAGTGTGAAAAGGAGCCTGGCAAGGCGAGTCCCGGTTGTTTCTATCTCCCTCTATGCCACAGTAAAGATCCCCCCTCCCCAAACACTGCCACAGGTTTGAGCGCAGAGCACTCCGATTGGCCCCTTCCCCCGCCAGTCAGCAGCAGTGATGCCATGGCAATAAACAAGTCAACAGGACCGTGACAGCACCGGTGGGCGGACAACAACCATTTTATCCTGGCACTCATGAGACTACGTCTTTCGCTTCCTGGCAAAATAAATTACTACCGTTGTCACTATGGCAACACCCCCACATTGGCCCCACCTTAGCAACTGCCAGAAGCGAGCAGCAGTCATGGCAACTTCTAAATGTCATGGCAACTGTCCAGTTGTCGTCAACAACCAACCGGTGCTGTCACAGCGCGGCGATTTCTAAATTATGTCATTTTCTGCCAGCTGCCCAGATTTCAAAACTTTTCAACCCAATGACCAAGAACAACAGAAGAACTGGGTTGTGTGGGTTGGAAAGTGGTGAAGATCGTGGGTGTGTTTTTTCCCCCATGGAGGTTAAACACAAAGCACTATGCTGGTGTGGAGCGGTCCTGTCATGCGGACACACATATGGACGGGTGTCCGGTGTTGACCTTGCAGCTGTGCATGATTGCCTTGAACAGGAGGGGGAGGTGCTCGATGGGGATGTCCAGGATCTTGCTGGTGACGTAGCGGATCTCCGGGAGGCACATCATCAGCTCGCGGAAGCGGGCGGGCTGGTGCGGGTACTGCGCCTCGATGTAGTCTTGGCAGGCGTACCAGAACCGCTTGTTCACGCTCTCTATCAACTCTGCATCTCTGAGGTTCTTCACATCTGGAACAGAGAAAACAACTTTTAGCTACTGGTTCTGGTGTTAGGCAGAACATAAAAGGTTAGCAAGTAACTAACAATCTATTTTTCTGCTGTCTCCCAATGCTTTTCATAAATTCACTGTGAATCTGTAGGAATATAATTCTGAACCCCTTAATTCACTCAAAGTAATCTTTTGTAGGAAAATTTGAACAGCTGAGTTCCAACTACTTTGAA